TAAGAAAGAGTCTGTCCAACTATGATAAAGATAACAAGATATTTGATTGACCTTTTTCAAGTCAGAGCCACTTACATCTTAATTGTATGTCAGGTAAGTTTCAATCTTTACTTTCAGAAAAGTTCAAATCAGAAAAAATATGGAGCTATCAGAAATACTCAGTGGTAAAGCTCGTGCGCAAAGCAATTCAGAAAGTTTTCATCCTATCTTCAAAAAATCTCAAACTGGAAAACTGAAAGATTAATACCATTATACCAATTGAAACTCAAGTCCAAAAATGTTAGCAGTAATGTGCGAGCTAGCTGGAATATCTGGAAAATCCTTGTTGATTGTTAGTATCAATAGCCATCAGCAAGGTATGTCAACTGTAAGGCTAGGTGCTATTTCTTATAAAGAAAATAAATTTGAAATAAGAGATACAGATGGATAAGTATACACATATTTAGATAGAAATGGATTTAATTAACAATATATTGGAAGACTTTCAAGTTAATTATGTGGATACCAATATATTACCTGGGCCTTCCTGGTTACTTCTTCCCCATAAGTTTTAAAACTGTATAGTCTCCCTCTTGGTCTCTATATTATTTCCATAAAGACTCAGTAGAAGTTTTCCCCAAACCTTTCTACAAGAGGAATCAGAACAAGACAAGCATATACCAATAAACAAGACTGATACATTGCATATGACTGTCCAATTTTATTTTTCTTTTTTCTTTTATTTTCATTTATAACATCAATATGCTCTAGGAATATTGATTTTTCTTTGGCAAAAGAAAGGGCAATAAGTCTTAAAATAGCTTTAGAATTAATTTTAACTTATCGTTATCTTTATCAATCCCAAATATACACCCATGTATTTACACATTGCGCAATGTACACTTGTAATTTGGAATTCAATAAAGTTAGGCATAAGACCGTCAAAAAAAAAGAACTTGTTTATATATATATATAGTATATATTTTCTTATATTACTTATATATTAATTATTTTTACTAATATTTAGATTGGATAATATTTATTGAAAGAAAACATAAAAAAAACTCATTTCACTGATCCTTTGTTCACACACAAAAAAAATATTCGCAAGAAATTTTTTATTTCTTTGCTAATAAAGTCTTAATACTATCCTTAAATCAACTTGAGATTTTACTTCAAGAGATATTCTCAAACCTTCTCTCTTGTTTATATTTGTATTTAAACAAAAACTTGATTCCCCAGGACCTAGAAAAGTCAAGAAATACCTTCTTTACCAACGGTAAGAAAGTTTTGCAAGGAAGAAAAACTAATAGTGGGATACTTAAAGTCCTTTATATTAAAGCATATTTATAGAGGTTTTTAGCAGTAAGAGGTGGTGAACATCAAGCTATATTTCAAGATGTCTGTCTATTGTATCTTCTCTCTTATAGTTGCTTAAAAATTTTTTGGTTTTCTAAGGAATTTTGCCTATCTCAGTTTGATCCTAAATTTTATCTATTTCAGTTTGACCCTGAATTTTACCTATCTCAGTTTGACCCTGAATTTTATCTATTTCAGTTTGATCCTGAATTTTGCCTATCTCAGTTTGATCCTGAATTTTGTCTATCTCAGTTTGACCCTGAATTTTGCCTATCTCAGTTTGACCCTAAATTTTATCTATCTCAGTTTGACCCTGAATTTTATCTATTTCAGTTTGACCCTGAATTTTGCCTATTTCAGTTTGATCCTGAATTTTACCTATCTCAGTTTGACCCCGAATTTTGCCTATCTCAGTTTGATCCTGAATTTTAAGTAACACAATCCATTGCCAAATATAATTGATGGATATAAAACATATTAATAGCTGAATATAAACAAGTCCTTACTAGTTATCTCACATTTTTTTTTTTTAAACTGGCTTGGTCAAGTTTATTAGCAAAGTTTAATATATAGATATATATGTCCAAAAAGAAAAACAAAGAGAGGTTAGTAAACTAATGATAGGTTGGAACCACTTCATGACTAAGCCATCTTCAGACAGAGACCTAATGAAGAATCATTAGGACGATAAAAATTTCTTATGGGGGTTAATATGTGTAACAAATCTATATTTATTATAAACTATTTGGTCTGTTTTACTAATGTGTTCAATATCCTACTCTACTATCTCTATTTAAAAAAGAAATAAATAAAACTGAGACTATACAAATTTAAATAGGGGTGAAGATTCTGCATTACAAAAAAGGTACCGGACGGAGAAAAGGAAATGGTTTGGTTATGGGTGACTTGGAACCACGCTACTACTACCATATTGATATCGTGGGCTGGTTACTCTTTGAGGGCTTTATAAGTTCAGGGCACAATGCCTGTTCCTTCACTGCTTTCAATACCTCTATATTGTGATTCTTATCTATCAGTTCTTGTCTTTTCCTTCCATACCCTATCCAGTATGGGATCTTCTACAGATATTTTTTTGGGTGATAATAAGTTGGAAGTTTCGGAGGGCTCTAGGACATAGGGAAAGTGAATGGGTATTGGGATAATTAGGGACCTGTTGTCCAACAATCTGTCCTTCTTTACCATTACGATAACTTCACCCTAGAAAGGAGAATCTTGATACTTTCAGTATACGCCTTGTTGGACTTGATAAATATCATGCTGTTTTTCCCAAAGTACTACCATCTGTAGAGATTGAACCATTTGTCTAATGTCCCATTGTGATGTATTCTTTAACCATGAGGTCGTTTGACTACATGTTGATATTGTCAATTAGGTACGAGTGATCCTAAGATCTCTCTGATCTCCCAATATTCATGCAAGTAAAGAATAGACATGGTACTTTTAAAGCATCATCCTTATTCTGTATTCCTTTAAGCCTGGTCTTATTTCTTATTTCTTGATAGAGAGAAGAGAGGGGTATGTTCTTCTTTTTCGCTTAGCCAAAGATGTAGGAGTAGACAGTGTTTATTATCCACCCGCACCAACACAATGACTTATAGTGGATCTCAGGTTCTTATGGAGCTAAGGAAATACATTTAAATATATGAAGTAACCAATAGAAGCTTGTTTACTTCTTTTTACTAATGTGAGCTCTGTCTGCCCAATCACGATGTGAAAAACTTTGTGCTACTCAAAATTCAGGATCAAACTGAGGTAGGCAAAATCCCCTAGAAAAAAATCAAGAATGAGCACTATGAGAAGCAGAAGCATGATAAGAGAGTGGAAAAATTGTCTCTTGTCATTACAACACTTCTGTAATGTTTCTCTATGGTGTGAGATAGCAGCACATTAGTTCTTCTTTCTTTCAGAACTTTCTTGCCATAGGTAGGAAAGGTGTTTCTTGACCTTTAAGGTCACTAGAGGTCAAGTTTTTGTTTGAAAAAGATAATAAGCAAGAGGAGAGAAGGTGGTGGGTGTTTCTTGAAGCTTTTCCAAGTTAGTTTAAAGAAAGTATTAAGACTTTATTAGCCTAGAAGTATAGAAACTTCTTGCGAACGTCTTTTTTATATGTGATCAGAGGATCAGCAGAAAGAGATTCACTAGCTATCTTACATATTTTGATGATATCATTGATAAAAGAAAGAGAATATATTGGTACAAATTCTTCATTCCTCCAAATAAAGTGTAACTGAAGCAAAAAAATTATGAGACTATTAGGATGGATACTAAATTCCTTAGGTGGTGAAAAGACAGTCATTTGTTCAAGCCGAGATCTTCAACTTCTTATCATCCCAATTAGGCAAAGTACGCAAAGGAGGTTATTTTCTTATCCTAATTAGGTAATAAGACTGAAAAGTAAAAAACTGTGAGCCACTCTCTTCTCTAGGATTGAGAATATATTTCCCCAGACATTATATAATGATATCATAATCAATAAGGATTGTTACAGTCTATGAGACCCTCCTACCATTGTAAGATAAAAAGACTGTTGGGGAATTAGACTTTTTGGGTAATAAAAGATATTCACCAGTAAAATTTCTTTAACTAGGCATGGTTGCTAAAAGATATTGCTAGTTACATAATATAATTGAAAGGTTACATAAGACCTGGGGTCTACTATAAGCTGTAAAGATTTGTGTGAGTAGATAAAAAATCAATATCGAAAGAAACGAAGTGATGAGTAAGATATTAGATCTGAGTAAACAATAAGTATATCAGACAGTTACAAAAAAATAATTAAGATCACAAATGAATAAGTTTTTCAGACAATCAGAAAGAAGAAGAATTTCCCAGAAGGGTTGTTTCTTAATGAGAGAAGGTTTTTTAGCAAAGATTCTTTGGAGGACATGGAGCATTTTTATTTTTTATTTTTTATTTTCTCTTTATGTACACATATTTGTGCATTTTTAAACATTCTCCCTTCTTTTATTTTCTCTTTCTCCATTATAGTTTTTCAAAATTAGTTTCTTGAAGGATAATAGACAGTGACAACCTGTTAGTAATGATGGGTAAGTTAGGAGGGTTTTTAATCAAAACTTATTCCAGAGCAAAATATTATCTCCAAGATCACATTTAGAGGCTTAAACTTATTTGAGAATTGAAAACTATTGACAAGTAAAATTTAATTTAATCATGATATAATTGCCTAATGTATCTCTGTTGGTTTTCTTAAAAATTAATAAATATACTATACTGGTCTGACCATGGGTTTAAAAAAAAAAAAAATTAGATTAGATAAATATCTAAGATTAAATTAAGATATCAAAATTTTTTTAAAATCTATAAAATTCAAAAAAAGATAAATAATAATAGTAAAAAAAAAAATAATAATAATAAATTTTATTATTAAAATTCTTTTTTTATAAAAATCTTTTTTGTTATTAGTGATAAATATATGTATTTTTTTTACTTGTTAAGGTTTCTATTTAAAAAATTACTTGATAAACAAAATGATATTAATTACTTTATTTTAATAAAAAAATTTTTCGCAGGACCCACGTGCATGAAAATTTGTGTGACCGAAAACAGATGTCACATGGTTTAATTAAATTGAAATGCATCAATTGCCGCCACATTTTCTAATTTTCTCGAGGAACAATCATATGGATTCTGACAAAGAAAGTTCGCAGGCCATTCTCGAAAATGATTCGCAAGAATCTTTTGATGATAATATTAAATTGCCGCCCGAGTTAGAGTCATCGATATTAGAAATTTTGCAGACCAATGATCCAATAGATAGTCGCGATTTTAACCTCATCGAATATCTTAACCAAATGCTTCCTAATGGTATGTTAAATGGAGAGCTTCCTGTCAAATTATTGAACCACATGATAATTTTGTATTTAGTATATAAAAAATTTTGTACAACTATTATAATTAGAACAATTTTTTTACGATAATCAGAACATGCACTGGCGTCAATTGATGTGACGGCCAAAAGACTTCAGGCGAAAATGCGCCAATTAGAGGCAGATATTAGAGAGCTTACGAGGATGCAAACCGATTGCGGGCAGCGAGGATCAGAAGAGGTTGCAGAAGCAAAAAAGGCTATCGAGGTGTGTAATGGACCGATCTAACTTGTAACGATGAGTTATTAGTTACATTTAAACCTCATTTCTCTAGAATTCTGAAATCCATTAATAGTAATTGCTGATTCAACGATTATTTTCAACATCATGAATCTTAGGATCTTTTTAATCAGATAAGGCAAATTAAGGAGAAGGCGTCGCAGTCAGAAGTAATGGTACAAGAGATCACTCAAGACATAAAATCCTTAGATTATGCTAAAAAACATTTGACCACTTCGATTACCGCTTTGAAAAGGTTACAGATGCTTGGTAATAATATTCATTCATCTTCCTTTTCCTTGTTTGCCCTTCTCCCTTTTTTTTAATTAATTTAATTCTCAATAACTCAAGTTACTGCCGTTGAACAATTGAAAATTATGGCTAAAATGAAACAATACAAAGAGACATCACAGCTTTTACAAGTAAAGTTATGATCGTTATTAGTGAGATTAGATGAGTGCAGGCTACTTGTTTTTGCGGCCGTTGACCGAATTAACACGAGATCTTCCTATGAAAGGCGGTCCTCCAACTTGGCTTGTATTTTAAAAGTTATAAGAGTATCAAACAAATAGCTGAACTGTCGTCTTCGATGAATTCATTGCAAAATGATCTGAGAAAGCAAATATTCGAAGACTTTGAATCAAGGTAATATGATTTCATCAATGATTAAGTGTTGGTTGCACGAAATTTTGTTCATTCTGGAACGCCTTTTCCTAGTTTTTCAACGGATGGAAGCTTAACCGTCCAGGCTGCGCCTTTGTCTGATGCATGCTTGGTAATTGATATAATGGGCGCAGATGTCAAGTAATGTTACTTTATTTCACTTTGGATTGTTAAAATGCAGATATTTAATAATGGGAATTTTTTCTTTAGAAAGCAATTGATTGATTGGTATTGCGACAGACAGCTGGGTGAATATAAGCGAATATTTCGTGGATTCGAGGGGGTATATTAGTTTCCAAGTTTTCACATAATACCCGCTTACAGAGGCATGATTCAAGTTGGCTATTTTTCCTTAATAAGAGTTCTGATCTGGAGAGTACATCGAGGAGGTATTCATGGTTAAAGAGGGTTTTGAAAAGTCATGATGAGGAGCACGCTTTGATATTTCCAGTAGATTGGCGAGTAAGCGAGGCGTTATGCATTGAATTTTGTGAAATCACTAGGTACTCTTTTGTTGTCATGTTGATAGAAATTTATGGATTTTCGAACGTCACTTTTGCTAGTAAACACATTTATTTAACAATAGGGAAGCCATATCCAAGACACTTTCAAAGGCCGAGAGTGAGTTGGATGTCAAAACCTTGTTGAAGAACTTGCAATTGACAATTGAATTTGAAGGTCAATTAGCAAAGCGATTCTCTCAGGTGATATGCGATATCATTCTTTATATAAAACACCCTTGCTAAATTCAAACTTATTATTTCAGGATGTTCCAAAATTGTCCGGCGTTGAAAGCACTGTTCTGAGAATTGATTTCACCAAAAGCATATCAATCTCCTTTGAACCATACCTCGGTTTGTACATTGATGCTGAAGACAAGTGGGTTTAATTTTTCGTTTTTTATTGATTTATAAGATTTACCAGAATCACCAATTATTTCTCTGATAATAAAATTTTAGAACGTTATCCGAAATGGTTAACTCTTATCGAACGGAATCTGTTCCTGATGACGAGTCGTCAACCTCAGTTTTACAATCCAGCACCGATCTATTTTATTATTATCGCGAGGCACTCTCTAATTGTGCCAAGCTATCCACAAAAAAACCTTTCTTTGGCCTATGTAACGTGTTTGCTAAATGGCTTCGCGTGTATGCGAATGAAGTTTTAACAGGGCGGCTTCCAAAGTTTGCATAAAACCAATGATTACTATACATACTCAGATTGGTTTAATTTAATTATTATATGTTTATTTATTTATTTTTTTTCTTTCCCTTTTCCCGTAAACCACAAAATAAGAGAAGAGCGCAAAGCGATGTCGCGTGACGATTTAAAGTTGACGTGTTTCATCCTTAACACGGCTGATTACTGTTATGCCACGACATCTCAAGTAAAGAATTTATTTGCGTTGACTGTTATTGAACGATATTCATACTTTTTGCACTCATCCGGTTTTTTGCGTGCCTCTAGCTCGAAGATAAGTTGAAAGAAAAGATTGATGAAGAATATAAAGAAAGTATAAATTTTGACAATGAGCGTAATTGTTTTCTAAAGTGAGCGAACCTTCTCTCTTCCCTCATTTGCTTGTTTATAATTCGCGATTCCATTATCACCCTTTTTTTTATAAAGTGTTGTGGCCGCAGCTATAAAAACATTGGTTCGTGGAGTTGAATCTTGTTATGAATCGGCTCTTGTCGCGATGACGAGGATACATTGGAATAACCTGGATTCAGTGGGGGATCAATCTGAATATGCCACCTTATTCCACTCTGTCCTGAGATCAAATGTCGTTGGCATACATAAAGGTATTACGAATAATCGTTACTTTAGAACATTTTGTGACAAATTAGTGGAGTAAGTGGTCTGGGTTTATACATGGACAAGCTTTTTATTCCCGAAGTGTTTTTCTGAATGATGTTTTTGGACAATTATTTATTAACAAAATTGTTTCCACCCTTTTATCAGGTCTTTTGTCTCTAAATTAATTAGCAACCTATCGAAGTGCAAACCGATTTCCGAGGTTGGTGCAGAACAGGTAAATGTAATTCATGGATGTTCTTCTGTGTTCTCGTCTCAGCGACTAATGGAAAACTTGAATAGATGCTACTCGATTTGAACGCCCTTAAGACCTCATTATTGGAAATGCCAACGATGGGTATAGAAAATTCTGCACCTCCGCCAACAACGTAAGATTGGTAAAAAAATTTTGTGGTGGCGTCTTTCAAAGAAGATTCATAACCATTCTTATTTCACAATGTATAGGTTTACTAAAATTGTTAATAAAGGAATAAATAAAGTTGAGGTCATCTTAAAGACCGTTCTTACACCTCTTGATCCACATGAGGGTTTAGTTGATAATTATATATTATTGATAGCAGATAAGAACCTAGGAAATTTTCAAAAAATAATGGAGCTAAAGGTATCCACTAAATTCTGATTGCATGATTTTAAAATTATAATGGAATTTTAACCAAGATTTTCCTTTCCTTTTTTTTTTTTTCAAAAAAAAAAAAAAGGGATTAAAGAAGGCCGAACAACAACAAATAATTGAGGTATTTCAGCAGATAGTCTCAAAAAATCCAGATTTACCGGAGAATTCAAATATAATGTCATCAATCACCTTGCCACCTTTCATTACGCCGTCATTGCCGAGTTCATTCCCGGCACTGTTTTCGACACCCGTTGGGGGTAGTCTTAATAATGTGGTGCCTGAACGCTTTGTTTCCGGAATCTCATCGTCAGCTATTGTTGACCAAAGTGGTGCAGTAAAGAAGTTTAGTGAGATTAGAAAAGTGCTAAATTGGAGAAAGAAAGATGCAAATGATGGAAGTGGTGGTGGCAATTTGATGAAGAAGGATGGCGATCAGTAGAGGTGTTGAGGTGTGGTTGTCTAACATTTCTGAAGTTTACTTGGCTTTCAGCATGTCAGAATTTGACTGTAAGCTTCCAACTCCCTTTGTAATTTATGTTTGAGTTTTGTAATTGTTCTTGCGATATTGTTTCTCCTCGGGTATTTGATCACAACATATTGGGCTTAGAAAAAAGAAGACGTGGCAAGTTTGAAATCAAAATAATAATAAATAAACATAATTTTATTTTACTACAATTTAGGATCTTCTAAGCCCAAGATCTTTTGATAATGAATTTTTAAAATCACATTTAACATTATTGAATATTGAATTTAAAAATAACATGCTCATATCTTTCCCAAATGTTTGGATTGTTGAATTTTATCTACTGTATGTATTCTATAAATAATTTATTAAATCTGCTTGCTTTCACTCTTTTCAAGACTAATTATCATCTTTTCTTAATTATCCTGACACTTGATGAATTTTTGGATTCCTTAGAAAGCACAGGATCCTCCTCTGATACAGTCATGGTTCCATTCGTTAAATACTGTCGGTTATTCTCATCAATGTCCTCCAGTATGTAGTTATAATTTACCATTATGCCAAGCGATTCGTCTTTTCTTTTGACTTATGAAGATTATGTGATAATTATTGCAATGCATATGGAATGATATGAATTGAATTCAGTAAAAATAGCCGACTTTCCTTCCTTTCGGCAAGATCATCAGGAATGTATCTCACCTGAAGTGTCTCCCAACCAATTTAATCTATAAACACAAGCTCCGTTGCGGACGTGAAAATTTGCTTTAATTTTGATTATAATGATTACCAGGCATAAAAAAATTAAAATTTTCGAAAAATAATATGAACAAATAAAAACAAAAAAAAAAAAATCTTACCAACAGGATCGAGAGCGGCATTTCTGTGCTTCTCGGTAATTAAATATCTTTCAAATTGTGAAATGAAGTTAACACATGAGACCATGCAGTAAAATCTCGAGGACGTGTATATTCACCTCGCACAAAGTCTCATTAGAATAGGTTTCAATACTTCTACAAACTTTGGATCATCAAACCAATCCTTTCTATGAATTAATTCACCCAAAATCCTGGCTCCACTCTCATTTTTGGCAGACATCCGATCGGGATCTTCTAACTTCTTGATATTTATTTCTTCCTCCTCATCCAGAACCGCTCTATCTTTAATGTTAATTGTGTTCGCTAGCCATTGCCGAAATCCTGGTATTGGACTTAACGTCGAAAAGATTTTTATTGTCCCAAACTCGGCTTGGAGTTCTCGAACAACTCGTTTAATTAGAAAGTTTCCTAGATCTATCCCAGATAAACCTGGCTGAGAAGTGATCGAGTAGAACATCGCACATTTTACTTCTTCGCATGTTGGCGATGAGTCGGGTGATTCTTCTTTCAATATCGACTGTGAATTTATGGGGATGAAGAGTTCTCAAGTATATTGGAAAACAAGAAAAAAAAAAAAAAAAAAGAAAGAAAATTCCTTGAATATGCAATCACCATGATATCTCCCCTAAGTTCTTTGGTGAGTGCCACGTGGATGAAGATGAGTGGATCGTGTGGCATTTCACGATGAAAGAAGGCAAAGAGACGTCTTCCTAAAGTTTATGCGCAATTAAACGAGAGATTTACATATCATTACTAAATATAGTCGAAATTTACCAGGTCCCACCCGCCTATAAATACGGTCAGAAATAATATTTAGATATTGATTGGGAAAGAATAGAAAATCGGTAATAATTAAAATCCGAACCTCTTTAGGTCCTTCCAGTCCTTGATTTCGTGCACTGATTCATATTTGGTTAACTACAAATAGAAATCACAGGTTGAGTGGGATACAAATGTAGATATAAGAGCGAGTGTATTTACATTTTCCAGGATGGACCCGGACGAGTTCCACGTTATTCTCATTAGATCGATATGCCCCAGCAGCCACGATGTTAATTTTTGCCCCAAGTATTCTTTAAGGGCTGTTAATGCCATATCACGACCATTTTCACGAACATATTCCTTCAAAAAACAATACCAACAGCAGGACGGTAAGTTACCAGTAATACAGGTGAATGATTGTAACTTATTAGCATTTGACCAATTTACCAACAGATCAGCTCGCATGTCTATCAGAAATCTAGTTCCTTCGGGCAGCGCAAATATATGGTCAAAGAAAACATCGTGTAATGGCATCATGGAATGCTTTAATATCATTTCTGCACGAATGGCAGCCCTTCCATGCTAAAAAAGAATTCCGTTAGTTGCAATTTTTCTCCATTTATTTCGGAAGGTTACGCTGAAATAATATTTACTGGGTCCTCATTAGACGAATTTATATATTGTTGCGCAGCTTCGATTGACTTCTCTCTCGAAATGCCTGAAACAAGATTCTGGATGAATCCTCATGACAAGTGCATACGCGATTTATCTAATCTTCAAAGCACAAAAACTAAAATATCAATGAATTTCATAACCACCAAAATTACGATATAGTAAGCGCAAAAACTTGATCTGATCTTCCTACATAAAATTTTCAGCGCCATGTATTTATCAACCTTTCCGCAGAATCATCAATTCAAGAAAAAAAAAAAAAAAAAAAAGGGAAATTGTGATTGTTACCTTATCAAGACTTTTATAAAAGTTGACGCATTCTTTTGATTTTCTGATCTGAAAGGAATCACCTTCGGTACGCCTTTTTGAGATAACATCGGATATCAATTCGTTCGCAAGTTTTTCATCTTTGAACCGATCAATTGATTCGTGTTCGTTAGTAAAGTGCCGCCCATTGGTTAAAGGATTTGGGTGGAGTTTACTATTTTTCATTATGAAGTTTATTGTCGTTTTCTAGGTTGATTTTTATTTTCAGCGAAAAGGTGTTCGAATTAGTAAAAATTAAAGAGACTTTCGAAGAACAACGAAGGAGGCGATACACACCTTACTATTGAATTTATTAAGAGTGATAAACGGTACAATCTTAGAATTCGAGAAAATTCCGCCAAATGATAAAAATGATAAACGAAAAGTTCTCGATAACAGATACGACATAGTATGCGGGTCCCTTTGATTGAAATGCAAAAAAGACTTCGTGCGTGCATACAAGTCGGGTTATCAATGGAAATTCACGTCATACCGATCTAAAATTTTATGGGTGCCCCACAGACGATGTGTAACAAGCCTTTTTGGGAATCCTTTTTATTGTGTATGAACCGTCTCTCGAAAATAATAATTTGTAATTTTTAATAAAAACTTATATTATGTATTTGATTAAGCGATTAGAATATAATGATATTTATGGTCCAAATTTTCTACGCTGTGCTTTTCTCCGTCTTAGAATTTATGAATTCGCAATCGAATTGGCGATGTATTTTTCTGTGATGAGATTACAATTATTATGTTCATATTTTTTTTTTTTTTTAAAAAAAAAATATATATATATATATACTGTATATAATTCTATCAATTCTATCTTAAATAATCGATCAATAAGTATACAAATCAACCAGAATCTCCGGATTCGCCATATCTAAATGGCACAGTAAGTATCTCGCCTTTATCTTCCACTTCACGATCCTAACGCTATTCTCGTCATCAAAACTTAGCCAAATTTTACCATACCTAGACTTCACGCGAATTTGATTTTTAGCATCGAACGAAGATTGAACTTTACTTTGGAGTTCTTGGATGTTCAGGGTTATTCTTTCAAGGGGATGCTTACCATCCTTTATCCATACCATTTGAATAATTGAAAAATCGGTGAACATATACTTGGGAATTGTCGAGTTTATTTTGTTGAAATAGATTGCACCTTTTTGTTTATTGTAGGTTGGATATCCGGCATAGACGGTTAAGTTGTACGCCATCGGGACGCGAACCTATGCAATTGTAAATAAAGCCGTGAACATGCTACCAAAGGTGTCTTACAAGAAGCGACAGAGGATTATCTACCTCAATGACCCAACCGATATTGTATTTCTGCATGATTTCATCGTTGATTACCACGTGTATAAGCGAATTCCATTGTTTGCAAGTGTAACGTACTTGAAATAATTCTTTGAATCTGGAAATCCAAAAATTAAAAATACTGCTTTTTTACGTCTTATCAGAGAGTGTTTGCAAGATTTACCCGGATATTTCGACCAAATGACCAAGTATCTCGAGGACTATTTCGTTGGGTATGCTGGTGATCATGTTTAAGATGAAGGATCTCAATTACCACGAAATATATTATTAATTGTGCATGCATCATGACGATCTTTATTGTAAAAATTAAATTACAATACATTTAGAATATTCTTTGTAGCAGCAGCAATAACGAAGTACGTGAACTGAAAGTAATATATCGCCTCATCTAATTCAATAATTAAAAATTGTGAAAGAACGAAAGAGAAGGCGATGCATGATTTATATCATTTACGACGAGAATGTTTGTCTCTTTGAAATTTGGTTATCTGTTCGCGTTGATCACATTTGATCGAATATTCGCTCTTTCCGTTTGCCTTTCGAGATTCTGGAACTTGACAAGCTTGACGATGATGATTCGGATAAAGAGGTAGACGGGGTAGACGACATGTATTGAGGGGTCACGTTAAAGGCATCATAATTGTAATGGTTTTCTTTCCTCGCGGAAAATCTCGGGTTTCTTTTGTGGGAAGGTCTACGCGCCTCAGAGTTCTTTTTTCTTGATTTCTGATGATGAGAAACATCTGTTAATACAAATAACACATAAAAAACAATACATCGCAAACTTGTATCTCTTTTTTACCTCTATTTTGTCGATTACAAAAATGTAGGCCGAATAAGAATGTTTTACGAGTAGATCATAAAATGAGTAGGAGAATGTGTCGTCTACGAGCTGTTCGTCAATATTCGCTGGCCAGAGATTCAGGGTCATATCGGCTAAATATGTATTTAGCGCATGATCCAGGTTGTTGTTTTCCACCGACAAAAATCTTTGCATGAATCTTTTAAGCGCAATGGCAAAAGCATCTGCCGGAAACCTTATCATTTTTTGGTCAAAGTCGAGCGTCTTTTCAATGGCTTCTTTCAAATCTTCGTCAAGCGGTATTCTCAAATCTTGAGGAAGATATCTAATGGTCGTGTTTGCAACCTGATCCTCAATCAATTCATATAGTGCCACCACATGCTTGAGCTTCAGACCTATCCCTAATATGTTATTATATTCTTTGTGCTCTATTAGATTCGAAAGCTTTATCCATCGATGAACGAAATCGTTGATAAGCATTTCGCTATCATTGCTAGAAGTTCTTTTTATAAAACAAATAAGAACCTCTAAAAACGAAAACATTTCTGACGCGTTATCCATGTGATAATTTACAGACGTTGGATTCTGATGCATGTTAACAGGGGACCCAATTATGACCAAAGCCTTGTCGGATGGGATAGGTTCTTGTGGTAAGATGTCCGAGATGTCGTTTAGTATTCTCACGGAATTTTGAATTAATTCCATGTGATATGGGAATGGATCCATGTACAATCGCTGTTCACCCCCACCATCAATGTAAATTTTTTCCGATAAAAGTTGCAACGCGAGTTCCGCCTCGATTCGTTGCAAATCAAAGACTACATCATGTCCAAACTTCATCCCGAGATTCCGTTGACTGTGCTGAAGAATCGAGTTATTCCACTCGTAATTTATGAAGTTATTCTCTTGTAAGCAATCAAGCTTTCTGGACTCTATATAAAGCTCTCTTTCACCCTCCGAAGTTTGTGTGCGCCAGAACTTGAGTGACTCGTTCGCATTAGGAATAGACAAAACGTCTTGCAAAAAATTATTCTGCAAATTAATCAGGAATTCCAGTATTGCACACAAATAAATTCCTACATCCCTTCCTTCCACCAATCCTAAAACCACATGCTTCTTCAAGTCTACCTTTGGTTTTTCTTCCTTGAATTCATGACAATGATATTTATTCACATATTCAATTATAGTATTCCAAGATTCGGAAAATTTTTCGAATGCCTCCAGTAAAGTTCCGTGAACATCCTTTAAATCTCCATTTTGTGATTCTTCGCTAATGAAATCTTCAAAAGATAAACGGGTAGCTTCTTTTCTGGTCAATTGATATGCAAGTCGTGAATTCAGGATTCTCACAAATCTCACTATCGGATAAAGGTGTTTTATGAGGGCAAGTTTCTCGGAGTGTTCAAAGTAAACCGCCAGGAATGGGAAATCTTCTTGATGTTGTCTCAAATTTCCCGTGTAATAGGCCCTAAAACTTTGGAAATCAATTCTTCCAATCGTCCTCCATAACCTTCATAAGGGGTGTCGAATTTTTTAATGGACACAGAGGTTAACTCGGATTAGCGTATTAGATACAATAAACAGGGAAGAGCAGAATGTTTACCTAGGCAGGTGTTCGTTGCAATAATCCTCATCCATTGCCAAACTTTGATTAATTTCTCCTTCGATCAAATTACCAATAATATTCGCACTCTTCATTGCTTGATCCAATCGCATCCTGAATATATTTGCCGTCTCCACAATACTATGGATTCTGGGGTTGACATATATTTCGGTGAACTTGGTTTCCCATTTGATTCTGTCTTCTGGAGTTCTCAAGTCTTTAGGGAATTGTGCGGACGGTTTCTCGCTCATCTCATTTAAAATCGAGATGATCAACAATGCCAGGTTCTCATCCGTCGCATTGAGGATTTTCTTAAGAACCTCCCAGTCATTTTTAATATGATCCACACAATATTTCTCAATTTCACTGTCATATTCATTACTTTTTCCAAGAAATTTCTTGGTCTCATTCGACGGTAACGATGAAGCGATAAGCACGTGCACAATAAAATGAAGAATCCGATAAGATACCGGGGGCATTGATCTCACAGTATAGTCTTGTGATTTATCGATCGGCTCTCTAATGTAACCCGCTTGATCATTCTGCTTCATAGCTCTGACCTTGTTTTTATCGATTCGGCGATTGCCTGCAATTGAAAAATGTGTTACAACTACAAATTATCGTTCAACAAAAAAGAAAAGATTTTTTTTTTTTTTAAAAAAAAGTACTAACTTGGATTCAATATGTGCTCTAATCCTCCGATTCTATTTCTACATTTGAGACATCTACTTTCTGAATCGACATTCCCACATTCACCCACAAGGTACTTGGCCCCGCATCTACACGCATATCTTGGTGAAATTAAAGTGGAATAGACAATTTCAGTGGTAAGTTGACGACCAATGAAGAGAGTGGTTCGTTCATTTTTACCTGGAAACGCCCCTTACTTCATCTTTTGCAATTATATTAAACAAAATAGTCTCAATATCAGATTGGCAGGTCAATATGAACTTGGTTTGACAATCATTCAAATTGTGCAAATACGAAGTTAAAATAGATGAACTCGGAGGTGACGATGCATATATCCCGGTTGCATATATCATGACCAATTTTATAATTAATTCGTTGCTGCTGGAATTATATCCTATCTTTAGCAGTGGAATGTCATTCGACAAAAGTCCTTCGATATTACGCATGTATGCGTGCGGTAGATTTTTTATTGATTTGAGTTCTTCCCTAAGGAATTGATCCAACTCATACACAGCCGTTCGCGAGACTAGTGAGGTTCTTAAAACATGAATTCTCACTGTCACAATACCCAGTAAAGACAAGCGTATATTGATAGATTCGTTTTGTCTTAATAAACCAATGAGATTCTTCAGTGGAGTTTTATAGGCGCGATCTTGAAAGTCTCTAAGTGCCATTTCGAATTTTACATAGTCATTAATTGCAAAGTACGGATTGAATGGTAACAGGTTATTGTCGTTTGCCTCCCACGATAAATCAGCAAACCTACGTGATTATTCAAGAAATGCAAATAGTTAACATAGTAATAATGCTACATTCATAAACTAGAACCCGCGCGTGATAAATACCATAACCTTTGGTTGTCGCAAATCTGCTTGATTTCGTTCATCGATTTTCCCTTGTCGCGCAGAATTCGGATGAGATATATCTTCAATGATCGTATCAACGGATGAGCCAGACTCATGTAATCATCAATGTCTTGAAGAAACCTATCTCTGTAAAGATCTCGAACTTGGAATCGGTCGTTAATCAAGACATGATCCCAGAGCAGATGCGCAAATTCCTTGAGGAACGCGATCGATGTAATCTTTTTCACTGGTCTCATCCCGTGACCGTATAATGTTTCCAAGGCTTTATGAAGGTGTGGAGTCATACTGCGCAAGCTGTAGCCTGAAAAAAACTCTTGTTGGATCGTGTCACAGCATAATACCGTCATTGACGAATTGAGACCCGCATTTTCGATACAATTGTCGATTACATGTAGCCTTGGGGAAAGTTCTCTTGAGGGAAAATCAATAATGCTGAAGAAGATATTCTTGATCTCATTGTCCTCAGCCTTAAAAATCTCTGTTATAATAGCGCCCATCAATGGAAAAGGTTCTTGTGTGAATAAAGTTTTGTAGAGCGTTAAACGAGCAGACGATTCGATTGGAATTGTATTCAGGCATCTTAAAATAAAAGATCTCTTTGGATTCAGATTTTTCTCGGTTTTTGGAAGTCCAGTTAGCAGTTCAAGAATGCTATGTACAAATTCGGAAGACAAAACCTCATTGCAGTTTCTCATGCTCAGACCTAAATTTACGATTCGCATGATTTCCGAACGTGCGAACGCTGCCGTGGAGAGTAAGTCGTCGCAAGCAAGCAAAGTCTGAAACGATGACATTTCCAGAGACCCTGTAATTTTTTTGCCAATGGAGATGATCTTAGTAGCTTTATGTCTCCATCGATCGATCTCGTACTTTTGAAATGCAGGACCACGAGAGGGATCGCTGATATCATGTAACATAAATTGAACAACTTCATCCATAAGGTGAGTCGAATAATCAATCGCCATATTAGCTTTTTTGCCCTTGAGCTTTTGAATACTTGACGGTACCATCTGAGCTAATTGAAGTTGAGTTAATATTGAATTTTGATTTTCCCACCAATAGATATGTAAGAACACTGGGTTCCGTATTTTTTCCGGCCCTAACTGCTTTCGAAGGATAGATTCAAGAACTTTGAGATCTCTATCCCCGAACTCACTGTAAGCAACAACAGACACGAAATCTTTGAAATATAATAGAGAAGCTTGACTTATGGGTGACGACTTGAATATAGGAATCAAGGAAACGACTTTTCTGGTAAAATCGGTGATGTAACTGTCGATTGTGTATTGATCGGATTTTGGATCGTCCTTAAGCGTAGAAATTTCTTCAGTGTAAACGGCTCGATAACTATCAATCTGTTCCATGAAGTAATATGAAAATGGAAACTTCAGATCGTAAATTCCTGAGGGCATATCATACTTGTCCGGTTGTGGTTCTTGTAATTCTTTGATATTGATGAGTTTTTCTTCATTAAACATTCTGACCCAGAATTCCTGCAGAATCTTGGCTAGATCTGAATTGAGTAAGTCACCAAGATTTTCTGATTCAATCAACATATTATTGTCACGTTCGTCTGCACTATCCGATTCTTTGAACTCTGTTTGTTCTATTTCAATGGACGTATGAACGTCCATTGAGTTGGAAGCACTCTCTTCCATCAGGTCATCCAGACACTCTATTTTATCATCTCTTTGTCCCAATTCAATGGGCACGTAAACGTCCGCCAGGTTAGAGACACTGGTTTCCATCGAGTCATCCGCACCTTCTACTGCATCGTCAAATTGTTCCAATTCGGTGGATGCGTGAACGTCCATCAGTTTATATTCACTTGCTTCCATCGGGCAATTTACATGTTCAACAGCATCATCGATTTGTTCTAATTCAATTGACCTATTCACATCCATCGGAATTGGATCAGAGTTATCCACTTCCGGTGGATCATTCATCTCTACAGCATTGAGGGTAAAGAACGTTCGTGTTACTGACACTCTTTCAAGAGCGTAAAGCATCTTAGCTATCGGTATCCGAACAAACGATCGAATGTATGCCTGCAATGCCGTTGAGAAGGAAGAATAGCGATACAATAATTTCTTGTCGGAAGCCACCTTAAATTGCCAGTCTTCAGATGTTTTCTCTCCGAGCCATGATTGTACTCGTGTTTTTATAAGTTCAATGAGCCTCGGATGATTCAAAATTTGTGAACTTATGATCCTAAAAAAAATCACTGCTGTTAAAGAAAGTTCGGAAAAGATGGTCGGTGTGAGAGTGAAAATGCTTACTTTATATGTTCAACCGCTCGGGAATTCGAAGGGTACTTCATGCACGATAGACACCATGGCAATTCTTGTTCCAAAATATCTTCGAATTTATATATCGTGTTTATGACTTCGCACAGATTTCCCTCTAAAAGGCTCGAAGGTGACTTCTTTTGTCTCGCCAATGTTTCGATCGTCACTTGATCCCAACCACACATGAAGTTAAATGGTGCCGTTGGAGCTCCTTCTCGATGTACATGCAAAATAATGCATGCGTGCTTGATCGGAACATCTAATTTGAGCTTACTCCTTTTTGTCAGAAATTCGTTTCGTAGCTGTTCAATGATGAATTTGGTCAACTTGATGCACCCGGCGTTCACCGTTGTCACATCGCATTGTAGAACCAACAACCGTTCTGCGGATTCATGCCAGAAATGTTTGATCCTATTTTGAAGTTGTGATTCCGTTTTAAAAGTGGATAACTTGTCCACCTGGCAGTCGATCAAACCATGCAAGCACGTTTTAATGTCGGTATTGATGTTTGAAAAGGTATTGATAATAACTTGAAAGCCATCGGGACTTTTCTTTTTCGCCGTTTCATTATTGAACAAGTCTCGGAAATATTCGGCCATACTATCATGGTGTTGAGCGTTAAAATAAATATTCTTCCAGTGAGTTCTTTCATCCATGCTCAAGATAGACTTCTCCGCGCGTACGATACCATCCGAAGATGCAATCGCTATAAGTTTTTCCTTGCATTTTTCAAGAATCACACTTCTGTCATCGTCGCTATCATTTCTTGAGACGTCGATTACTAAACTTTGCAATGTTTCATCCGGATCAAATCCGATGAACAGATCTTTCAACGTGAATCTTGAATTTGGATCAGGGTTGGGAATTCCAACCATTTGTTTTGCCCACGCCTCTAATTGCGAAACCGTCTCCTCTTCGTAATCCGAAAGGATATCGCTGATCTTCATGATCTGCTTTTCAAAACGATTTAGAAGGGGTGGGTCAGATGTCGCGAGTTTCTTCTCGTCGAGGATCAAAATGCACCTGAAAGTTTCCGCGACATAACTAGGAAACAGTTCGTTTAAAGATTATTGTCATTGTATATTCAAACAGCTTGCGATGATGTGTAATCACCCATATACTCACAGCATAGGATTAGAATAGGCGCCTAATGCTACTCTCGTATAATATTTGGGATTGTCGGCACTCCCAACAACTATATAATTTTGGTTCCATAGGTCGTAAAGACTCCCTTGTTAAACAAATAGAAGATTATATATATATAAACGAATGAATACTTCATCGTTGCATCGGTCGAACATAATTTACCGTAAATTATTTCCAGATCAGTTAATATCAACGGCCTTCCGGCTTCGACGCACATCTATGTACAATAATATATAAATATATATTTATTTAAAAAAAAAAATAAAGAAGAGAAAAAGGTACCATATATTATGCTATGGCTATGACCCACCATGATTCTGCTTAGAACGCTGTATGAATAATCCTCCTGGTCATCGGGAAATTGGGACCCAAGTATGATGATGGGATCCAGATTACTTTTTTTCATCTGATAACTAAGCAGGTTCAGAATAGAGTCGCTTTTTCCGATGATCATTAGATGTCTTGCTCCTTTTTCGTTCAAATTAGTGCTTATGAGATCATCGATTGGTATTGGAGTACATTCCCAGAGTTTATAATCATTGAACGAAGTTAAAACTTCCCTAAAATGCTTATCGCACAATTCTACCGTCTTGCTGGTGCCGCCGAAATTGCGAAATAATGCTTTCTGAATATTCCTTGGTGTCAGTTTGTCAACTGAAAGGCTTTTAACTAGGGCATAGTAATCTCGAAGACCGTGGAAGTTAGCTATCTCCTGTCCATGTTGTTCATAGTCATAATATGCCTTGGCTAATGGTTTTAATAGTTCTTTCGTGGTCCACGTCTCCTCTTTAAGTAGACGGACAGCAGTATCCACAAGATCGTCGAGGTCAAATTTAGGCCTAATTTTTTAATGTGAAAGATGCATGAATTCGATGAGTGACCTTGTTTAAGCGAAAAAGCACGAAACATTGGAAATATCCGCAGACCTTTGCACCAACAAAGCTCTACTGCTCTTACTATTATCCAATCTCCAATTAGAAATACCAATCACAGATACCGAAGGCCCGTCAGACGGATATCTTGGTTCAAGTAAAGCGTGAAGCACCTTCAATGGATTAAATGGCGATTTTTCGGCCAATCCGACTGATTTTCGAGGACACCGTTTAGTATCCCAAAATATCATTAAAAATTTCTTTTTTAGAACATGCACATACCTTCGTCAAGCAACACCACGCTGGTAACCGAAAAATCATCGGAACCGGTTTTTTGGTAGGCCTCGGCTTTTTGAAACACCTTTATGATACCATCTGACGTCGAGGATGAGGAACCCTGATGGGGAATAAGGTAGACCTGCTCGTTCATGACAGAACAATCATCATCAGTTCATGAAGGTAGGGATTTATTGGTAAAATCACAAAAATGATAAACGTACCTGGGGTAAAGTTTTAAAAAATGGATCGCTTGAGTCGGAACCACGAAGATTCTGACTCACAAGTCTAACGGCCAATGATTTAGATGACCTTTGGAAACAAGCCTTTTTTTAATATGATTGAATAAAGATGATATAGACAAAGGTGATACTGAACACTTTCTTGAAGATTAATGGCTTACCCAGGAGCTCCGATGATAAAAACAGGAATTTTAGTTTGGATACAGACGGCCATGACCAACACATTTTCCAAGAGAGCCTCATTTAATGCTGTGTTTGGCGGGCATGTCATTCTTCCCACATAATCCTCCTGTTCTTCTCTAATAACTTTGTTAAACTTCTCCTCATCGATATTAATTCCGTGACGCTTGAAAATTATCTTCATTTCATTCCTATATCTTTTTCTTGTCTCCTTGTCATAAATACGGGCCTGGTAACACAATCCCAATGATAAAATATAACACCTGGTTGAAATTTGAATCCCACCTTCAGGTGGATATACACTATATTTATTAGCAGGGGGACGATCTTTTAAACTCTTCGAAAAGAACGCGGCAAGCTTGATCGCCCTTTTAACGTCACGCAAGCTAACACTGTATGGCTCTTCAATTCTTCGAATGAAAATCTGAGATTCACATAAGAGATCTGCAAAAACCTTATTGCCAATTGAAGAATTTGAAACCATGATTTCTATG